CCGCCAGTAACGTTTCCGCAATTGAGGCAAGAGCAAACAAATGGTAACACATTTATTGGTCCTACCTGACAATTCCTAAATCCCATAAGTATTCAAAGGCTTATCCAAGGATATAGTAACCCAGCCTCTCGGGGGGGCGAGCCAATGGTCACCGTCAAGTCCTGTACCCTGTTCAATCCTTTCCACTTCCCTTTGATCGGAGTTTAATTGCAATTCGTGCCATGCCTAATTCAAAACTGTATCCATACATCGTAGCCATCCACATTCATATTCAATCTGCACCCCTCATCATAAAACGGTTTAAAATCCTGGTTTTATACCTTTTATGGCAGCTGGACTTTACTTCCCTAATGAGGCAGTTGAGGTCCTCTTGCGCACCTTACGCACAGCTCGCTGATGTTCAACTCGGCTCACAATCTTCTCTGTATCGTTTCCTTTTTCCTTTCCATGTGGCGGATATTTTATAAAGTGGGGAACGAGACAGGGCGAACGACATTTTTGGTTTGCCTTCCATCTAACACCCATCCGCCCGTCGTTCATTCCATCCATCCTAAATTATTCCATTCATCCTGGGATGCTGGCATTGATACACTGTTGACAGCCACCTTCAATAAGCCAGATCAGTCCGATAAAGTAGAGCAGTCTTACATCCAAATCAGACCTTGCAGTTTGCTCACAACTCATCACTTGAACGAGCGACGAATTGCTGCTACCGCATTCTGTGCTGAAGAGACACTGTTGAAAACTGCAAAGCAAAAAAACCAGAGAAATAACAGCAAACGACTCGCCCTTTGCTGCATGCATTTGTTGTGCGGTATCAGATGACAAAAAGAGACGACAAACCTTCAGAACATCATCGACAAACCTATCCTGAACTCCAAAGCAACAACCCCGCCGATTCTCGTCAGCAACATCCTGTTCAGCATTATCAACAACCACCACCCCCGCAGCAACCTTCTGTCCTATCGTCATACCAACCACAAATTCCGCATCTTGAGCTTCCACATTCATCTTCTCAACCACCACGGGATTACCCACACCAACATCAACAGCAACAGCAACAACAGCTGGTCCCCATTATCGTTGCAGGACCTTTGCCCAACCACCACTCTCAACCGCATTACCATCACCAGGTACCTACACCATCGCATCCACCTACACATCAGCACACCATGGTTCAATACATCCCCATCTCGCAATACGCTTCCAGCATGCCGGCTGTAGGACAACATGGTCATGGCTACTTTTCGACACCTTTCTCAGGGTACCAGACGCCAACGTATTCTGGGTATTCCGCGTCCCCTTATGAGGGATACACGCCTATTGTGGTCACGACGGCGCCAAATATGGTGTATCAACAGAGTCAAGTTTTTCAGAGCTATGGAGGGCCTTCGGCTGCTAGTAATGTTTATCAGACTTCAAGTGCTGGATCTGTTGGAATGGAGTTGGATGAGCTTTTGTTATGTGAGTATCATTCTTTTTTGCTGGTTCTAGTCTTTTCAGCTTAAGATGATTGCTAAACTTTTTCTTCAATTTTCAGCAACTACAACAGTTCCTCATCTCAACACCACATCATCAGCTCCACAGCACGTCGATAGCAGCTCCAACACCACAAACGGATCCTCCACATCACAAACCCCAATTCTCACAACCCTCACAACCCCATCGACACCCCAACCCCTCAACCCATCCACTTCAACCTCTCCGCACCTCTCAATCATTCCCGTCGATGCCTCCAAACTCTTCATGCTGAAATCCATGGGTATCGCATCTGTCAAACCCCAATCAGGTATCTCCTCAAACCCCTCCGACCCAAAACTCCCCACATACGCACTCTCGAACCAAATCCAATCGGAAACGTTAGAAACCGGTACCGGTCAAGAGCAGATTCAGGCTATTTCTTTGAGACCGTTGCCTAGTATTCCATTTGCGCTGTCGACGCAACCATTGATCTTGGCAGGTGATCAGGGTGGTGAAATGAGTTTTGTGCCAATTATTGTGCCGACCGAGGAGATTGGAAGTTTGGGCGTGAGGAGTGCTGGGAATCCGGAGGAAGGCAAGAAGGAAGATGTGAGGGAGATTTCGGAACCGATTGCTGTCACCAAGATATCGAAACCTGATACCGGGAAGGTTGTTTACCTGTGCGCCGAAATGGGATGCAGCCGAGAGTTTGTGAACAAGAATGCTTTGAAAAAGCACATGCTTTCTCATTCGGCTTCCTCTTCTTCTTCTTCTTCAACGCCATCCGTTCAATCTTCAACATCACGCAAACGCGAAAAACGCCGACACGTCTGTCCCCTTTGCTTCAAAACTTTTGCGCGTATCCACGACCTCAACCGCCACGACCGTACCAAGCATTCCGACGAAAGACCGCACAAATGTCCGAATTGTCCTGCGACGTTCCCCAGGGCGGATTCGTTGAAAAAGCACATGGAGTGTGAGGCAAAGGGGACGGCGAAGGGGTTTGCTTATTATAGTGCTCTTGCGGAACGGCAGAATCGGTTGAAGGAGGAGGGGAAGAAGGATGAGGAGAGTGGGAGTGACGATGAGAGAGGGGATGGTGTGGAGGGTGGCGAGGGTGGGGAGGAGGGTGATGAGGGCGATGAGGAGGATTTGGCGCCGATACCTGATATGCAGTTTTGAGTGTTGGAATTGGAGCGTGTTTTTTTTTTAAATTTCTTATGTATTTCGTTTGGTACCTTGTGCGTGTTTTGTGATCTTAACTTAAATAATGTATTATTTGCATATCCGTGAATGTTCAATATTCTTCTTTCTCTCCGAATCCATTTTTTATTTTTTATAAGAAACCTGCAGAAAACCAAAATGTTTGCCAAAGGCACCAAACTCGACGCTCTCCATCAACTCGCGACGGAGCAAGGAGATCCACAGGTATGCAAGCGACCCACAATCCACTCCTCCTCACACCCACTTTATCCCACCGTCGTCATATGCATCCTCACCGTCAACCGTTACCAACCATCGAAGGCTTGCGTGGCTCTCGCTCAAGCTCTCCTCCACATGCCTCCAGGCAAAGGCCGTGATGTATCCCTTTCTCTTCACTTTTTCGAAGAAGCTGCTAGGATGGGCATCATAGATGCCGCTCGGATGGCAGCGCAGATGTACAGGGATGGATGCGATGGAGAGGTTGAGATGTGTGGGAAGAAAAGCAGGGAGTGGATGAGGGTTGCTGGAGAGTTGGGGTTTGAAGGAGCTTGGGGGGTGAGTCCTGCTTTCTTTCGTTGAGTGAAGACGGTGTGGATTGTTGACGATGGAGAAGGTTCTTGGAGATTGGTATTGGACGGCATCATCCGGCAACGACGTCATCGATGACCTTGACCCAGAATTCGATTTGGAAGACGGTGACCTTCAAACCATGTACCAATCGAAAGCCATCGAAGCCTGGAAACGGGGAGCCTCCGTGAATGATTTGCATTGCTTGAATAGGATGGCGGATCATTGCATTGCAGAAGATAGGGTTCAGGATGCGGTTGGGTTTTGGGAGAAGGCGAGCGAGAAGGGGGATGTAGGAGCTGCTAAAGCGCTTGTGAAGGTTCATGAGATGAGATTGAGAGAGGATGGGGAGTTTGGTGGAAAGAGGGTGGGTGCTGGTGGTGGGAAAGGGACGAAGAGGTTTAGGACGCCTTGGAAAAATGAGAAGAAGAATGGGAGGAAGGACAGTGAGGATGGGCATGGTGGGAGGAGTATGAAGAGGAGGGTTGAAGATGATGTTGTTCAGGGTGAAGGAGACGTTCTGGTTGTAGAGCAAAACGCGGGTGAAACTCCTGCTGAAGTACCGGACGCAAAGGATTTGGGTGACGATTGTCGAAACAAAGCGGCGAACGAGCCTGCTGTTGCCGATGGAGATGATCCAGCAGATGTTGAGGACGACGAAGAGAGATCCGAAGAGGCGCCACCATCGCCACGCACAATTGCCGTCAAATACCTTAAGTACAGCGAAATCGCCGCATCCACTGGAGATCCTTCCCACCTCACTCAATATGCTCATCTCAACCTCACCGGTCTTGACGCCATCGTGCCTTCGTCGGACTCCGGCACTTCATTGTCATCCCCACTCACTACTCCAAAAACCGAAATTCTCTCTCTCCTTCCACGAAACCCCCCGCTCGCTCTTGAACTCCTCCTCAAAGCTCACGCATCCGGTGCACCCTCTTCGGCGTCTATACTTTCCGCCGCGCATATCCTCATGCAGGGTGATTTGGGGATTCAGAGGAACCCGTTGAAGGCTTTGGAGCTTTATGCGGAAGCGGCCAGGGAAGGGTCCATCGAAGGTCTTGTTGCTGTTGGAGATGCATTTGCGGTTGGAATGGAAGGATTGGAACCGGATTTGGAAAGAGCGTTCAGGATCTTTGAGGAGGCTGAGAAGGTTGGATGTTTGAAGGCGTGTTGGAAATTGGGGGACTGCTACAGGTACGTTCGCTGTTCAGTGGATGCGAGTTGCTGAAGGGTTCTGCAGGGAAGGCGTGGGATGCGATGTAGACTTTGTTATGGCGTTCAAACTTTACGCCAAAGCTGCCGAAGGAGGCGATCATGAAGGTATCAAGAGACTTGCGCAGTGTTATTGGATGGGTGAAGGATGCTATGTGGATCTTGTCGAGGCGGAGAGGTTGATGAAGTCCTTGCCAAAGAATGAGTTTGAGGAGTGAAATTTGATGTGACATGTTGCTGAATGAGTGATGAAAGTAAATGGAACGTCTCGACCTTTGGATTTTTTGAACTGTACAATACGCTGACGCTGACGTTTCGGGCTCCAGAAAACAATGTCAACGTCAAAGCTGCGTCAAAAACGATCAACGAAAAAAAGCAGGAAATTCGCAGGCATCTGCAAGCGTTTCCAGCGAGCACGGCCGCGATGAGCTTGGGCCAGCATCAACGTGGTCTCTTGAGCATACACGACTTGGTGAATTTGGATTTTAGGTGTGAACGGAAACAAAAAATTGGTTTTGTGGGAAGAAGATAAAAGAAAACAAATACAATGTTTATGCATTGGCCGGGAATCGAACCCGGGGCTAGCCGATGGCAACGGCTAATTTTACCACTAAACCACCAATGCAAACAGGGTAAATTTCTTAATTCAAATGTCGTACAAGTATCACAGTATTACAAAGCTTGGGATTGACAATGGATATATTCAAAGATATCAAGAAAATGAAAGATGATCAGAGAGGTCCAAAATAAAACAAGTCACTAACTATACAAAAAAACTCTGAAACAAAAACAGACAATATTTCAAAAATTTCGCCACGACGTGACAGGGCAATCAATTCCTTCAAGCATCATTGTACTTGTTGGGGAACTTTTTGGCCCATTCTGGGTACTTTGCAGCAGAGATCTTGACTTGAATCACATACTTGTCGTATTTTCCGTTCTTGAAACCTTCCTGGCAGTAAAGAGCGATGCTGTAATTCAAAATTAGAAAACTTGTTGCAACGAGCTGAAGACAGAACAACAATAAAACTCACTCATGCAAATCCTTGACGCATTTCTCGAATCCATCTGGGGACAACGGAAGACCGTCGCAGAAACCAGTGTGGTCGGGCTTGGTGGCGAAATATTCAATGTACTTGCATTCGTCGATGGATTTGGCGTAGATGTCGAGCTCGACGTAATCACGTTGGGTGTCGTGGTAGGGGTCCGCCCAGGGCTTGGTTGGGTCGTTGTAGGCTGGGGCGGGGAAGTAGGAGGTGGGGGAAGGGTATGGGTAGCTGTAGGTTGCGGTGGGAGACGGGTATGGGTAATCGTAGGCAGTGGTGGGACTGTCGATGATCACGACGACGATGATTTTCCCGGTGAAGACATATTTGAAATCGTAGTAACCTGATCCGTAGTTAACGTCAAAGTAGCGAACGCAGGAGTCGGCGACGCTGCAAATTCAATGAGTAAACTGTTCTCTTATTGTATCATATAAAGTGTGAAAGAAGTTAAGGCTTACGCATTGTATCCGCTGAGGCAATCCCCTTTGTAGCTCTTCCTGGTATCAGGATCGTAGATCACCAAGCCATCACAGAATCCGTGATTGTCTTCTGTGGTCGCCAAAGCACGGAGATAAGAACAGTCCTTGTAGCTTTTGGCGACGGCCGTGATGGTTCCAGTGTAGGTTCCATCCTGATTTGGGTTGAAGATGGTCGTGTAGTGGACGCCGTTGTAAGTGTAATCCTTGGAAGAGCTGCTTGGATAGCTGTATTCAGGGGTCGGGTAGTTGCTGGGAGGAGCTTCGTATTTGGCTGCAATGCGTTTGAATTCGGGCAACGCAGCAGCAGAGGTGAGGGTCGAAACGAAGGCGACGGCAATTAAGGCGAGGGTACTGGAGAGCTTCATTTTTGTTGGTATACAGATATGGCTGGGTTTGCTTTGCTTTGCTTTTGAAGTAGGTTGGATTGAGCGCTTATTGATGTTTTTCGGAGAATCTCGTCATGGCTTTTTATACATTAGGCTGATTAATGTGCAAAGAGTCGAAAATCGAACACAAAAATTGCCCCAAACCCCTTGAAAATAATATCCCCTGCGTGTTGCGGTGGGTCTGCTGCTAAGAATGTCGCAGCAGCTTCATTGAGGCGAAGTTCTTTTCTGAAGACTGGTTCTCGAATTTGAGTGTGATGCTTTGCTGGTATCCTAGAAGTACACTTATCCGCACGACATTGGCATTCGAATTCACCTGCAGGATACCACTCTGCGGACGGCTGATGGGGTTTTTCTTTTCGAACCCAGTTCACTCTTTCTGGGTTTCTGTTGGAGGCAAAAGCTGCTTGTTTACAAAACCTTGGGGCTTAAAGAGTAGCTCAAGCCAACGACAATTGGATGGTTTAAACTGGGAGGACAGTCACAATCTCTTGGGTCAGATAGTCTATCTGATTTTGATACACTGTGCAAAATCCTATGGATTGTTATCGAACCCCCCGAATTGGTATCCAAATCAGCGCAAAAAGTGTCAGCCTCATCGCATTTAGAGCGTCGTCAATTGCAACGGGCTCCGCCCCTCATGCCTTCTCCATTTATATCTGATTATAGATCAGGTTTGAAATACATCTGTAAGAAGCGTGTACTGTGATGACGTTAAACAGCCAAAATGAATCTTTCAAAAGGAAGAAGTCCGAAGAACCAAATGTGTTGAAATTCAATAATTTATTCGAAGAACTGACTAATCGCCATGAACAATGCTTATAAAAGAACAAAGAAAAAGATAATATTCACAACGCGACAACAGGTTTACTGATTGCTTTCATCGTACTTTTTGGGGAACTTCTTGGCCCACTCAGGGAACTTTGAGGCAGTGATGCCGAGCGTGATGCTGTACTCGGGATATTTTCCTTCCTTGAATATTTCCTCGCAGTATCCAGTGATTCTAAAGCGGATATACATAAGTTTTTTTGCCCAAAAAGTAAGGAAATGACAGAGGCCACTTACTCATGCAAGGTCTTGACACACTTTTCGAAACCATCTGCAGTTCCAGGAAGACCATCGCAGAAGCCGCTGTGGTCGGGCTTTGTGCCGTACGCCTCAATGTATTTGCATTGATCGACGGATTTAGCGCGGATGGACAAATCAACATAGTCCTGACGGACGTCGTAGTAGGGTTCCCTCCAGGGCTTGGTGAAGTCGCTGTTCGAAGTCGAAGGCTTTCCGGTCTCGGTGATCTTTCCTGTGAAGACGTATTTAAAGTCGTAGGAACCAGTTCCGTGGTTCACGTCAAAGTAGCGGATGCAAGAATCGGCGACACTGTTTGAGAAAAATCATTCGAGGTTAGGCAATGTGGCTTTCGTTGAGCTTGGCAGAAAGTCGAGACTCACCCATTGTATCCTGAAATACAGTCACCCTTGTAGCTCCTCCTGGTCTCGCTATCGTAGATTTTCAAACCATCGCAGAATCCACTGCTCTTTTCAGTGGATGCCCATGAACGGAGGGAAGAGCAGTCCTTGTAGCTTTTGGCGACGGCCGTGATGGTTCCGGTGTAAGTTCCATCTTCGTTTTTGGCGAGATCAGTCTTGTAGTGGACACCGTTGATGCTGTCTTCGGTTGATGGGTAGCTGCTGCTAGTTTCGGATTTGGTGTTGGAGGTTTGGTATTGAGGCAACGAGGTGGCAAGAGTCGAAAGGAGGGCGGCAGCGAGGGCGATGGAGAGCTTCATTGTTTGCTTTGATATAAAATTGGTTCTGGGTATTGGATTTTCAAGTAGATTGATTTAATGCTTTGATTGCTGATGATTCCATCTCGAGGAACTCGTTGTCTTGGCTTTTATACTTGACCCTTCAAGGAAGCCCCAAAGCCCCTTCAATAAAAATTTTTTATTTTCAGTGAGGCGTTTGCATGTAACAGCGGCTTCCGTGAGGCGAATTCGCAAGAGTCGCATTAATAGACTATGCGGCAATCATAGACAGGAGGATAATGTGGAGCTCCTGAATGATCTTTGAGCTTTGTGGAGCATCCTTCGAAAGTGTAGACTTGGAGATTGGAAAGGGAATCAGGGAACTAAAACGCAGCAAGATATTAACAGTTTCATGGACCAGCAGGGTATATTTAGACCATAAATAAAGAGCAGAACAATTTAAATAATTCTAGAGCAAGGAAGTAAACATATCCCTTGGATGAGTCCAATCCACCAAAAACCCGTGGATCTGTGGAGCAGCATATCCAACCAAAATCGATATCCCGATCAACGCAAACAATGTTAGCCTCGACCTCACACCTTCGGTGAACCATTCCGACTTCTTAGCCACAACATCAGCCTCCTTCTGTTGTTGTCTTTCCATCTGAAGCTCCGATTTTGAGGCCGGCAAATCTAGAGTATCGGCCCCACGCTTTGTTGCCTGCATCAATGGAGACGGCATGCTTCCTGGAGCGCTGGTTGAGAACAGTCTTTGTTTTGCGAATGCATTGTTGTTGTTGTTGTTGCTGATGCCCTTTGCAACAGATGGTGTGGATTCGGTAGGGGATGCAAGTTCAGCGAAAATGGATGACGGAGTCGTCCTCTCAAACGAAGTTCCGGTCTGAAGAAAAAATCATTGTCAGAAACAGCTTTTACAACAAATGAACTAAATTTTACCAACCTGCTTTCCGATATTGGTGTTGATCGGAATATTAAGTGCAAAAGCAGACTTGCGCTTGTCAGTAGCCGGTTTCGGTTTCTCTTGATTCGTCTTCCGATTTGGGGAACTGCAGAAACGCATTTTGATATGGATAAAAATAAGGGTCAAAAAACTCACCTCATCCTTTGAGATATCTTCCATCCCAAAATCCGAACCTTCTTGCCATTCAACTTCACTGTCGGCTCGACATACGTTGCAATTGATCCCGGTAGAGTAACGGGCCTGTGGAGGGCATCCGTTCGTGAAACGGAGACATGGAAATCAACGTTGCCTTCCAGAGCATTGGGTGCAGTCTCATATGCATAGATATATACATGATGCCTGGGGACTTCAGTCTTGGTCAGAGCATCCATAGAATTGGATGTTGCCGATTGAGTCGTACCAGAACTTCCGAACACCATCGTCATTGCACTGGTCAAACCAGAGGTCATGGTCGTTGGAGGAGTCGTTGAAATCAGATTCCTGTCAGATCCTCCGCGTCGATCGGGCGCAATCTCCTTGATCTCGCATCGGAACCCAACGCCTTCGACATTAGCGCTGGCGGAGATGTCGTAACCAAGCCGATTGCCAACATATCCCGCCACATCGATAGTGAACTCCAGAATTCGTAGTTGTGAAGCATCGACGACGACGTCTCCATTGGAAACTTCCGGCGTCATGCTGGGATCAGCAATGCGAACGGCAGAAAGAGATCTCCGAAGGGGAGCAATGGAGAAATCGGCGCTCATTCGAATCATAAAAACCCTGCTGGTTGGGTTGTAATGTGTTCGAACTTTGACGTGCTGTTCGCTCTTGATATCATCTAGCTTCTTTGCATCACCACTGAGGGATGCCTCGGATGCGAAATGATGTTGCAAGAGAGGTTTTTTGAAGATGACCGGAGTCGCAAAACGAGGGTCAACTGGTTCTTCGCTGGGAACAAACGGCACCACTGGCCAATTCAGGATCGGAATTGAGCTGTTAGACTTTA